ATGCCAGTCTTGATCGCTGCTCTGACGTCACGGAGTGCTCCTAATCCTTTTGTCTGATTGCGACCGGAGCCCAGAACCGCTCGCCAGGCGTACCGCGTCTGAAGTTGTAGCGGGTGTGGGCGACGGTATCTGCAGCTGGACACCGCCAGCGAATTCGACACGTTTTCCCAAATATGCATGTAGACCTATGTCTTCCCAAGCATGCTCGGCTGTTCCAGGGAAAGCACCCTGGAAGTTGATGGTCAGGAGAAGGTGAGGACTTTCATGGCCACACCCTTGGCTGTGCCGCTCGATTTTCAGGTTGGTTCGGCACCAACGACCGAACTGACCCTGCCAGAAGTGCAACGTCCGACTTGGAGACGCGATGCATATCGTCCCGGACACACGATCTTGCGTTGCATCGGTCATCAAGCCGAACATGTTGGGCTTTTGTAAATCTGCTTATACTGGTGCTCTAATTTCGTTTGGCAGGCAGCGACGTCTGGGCATGCTATCCCATGGACGGGCACTGGTACCGGGCACAAGTTCGAGGGTTCGCACCGCGAGATCGCGTACGAGTTTCTTGGTGCAGCCGTCCTGAGCATGACGATAGCCTGGAATATGCGACTTGGCATGTTCGAGGTTTGAGCAGCAAGTCAGCTGTCCGAATGCACCATCGTACCATCGGTGCAGAGGCCTCAAAGGCAAAGACCCCAAACCCTTAAACCATACAGGTGAGTGGTACCTTGTAGCAGGAATCACTCTCTATGCTTTGGTGGCTTCACCCTTAAGACTCAAGACGGCAGTCACTTAAGCAGACCTCGAACGACATGCCTCGCCTGGAGTGTCCGAGTGTAAGTGCCGAAACCGTTCCCTAAGCTGGGACTGCTTGCCAGAATGCGTGCCTGCTTCGAGCGATTGTGGGAGTCGAAACCCTAACCATAAGGTGCAGATGCGGGAGACGGAGACGGATGGTGAGCTCTTCACTGAGCTCAGCAGCTACTCGGTGATGCGCGTGGACGCAAGCATTCGAAGGCCTCCTCCCAGTCCGCTGGACCAGGCCATCTGCAATTCCCGAAGACGGGGGGCCTTTAGCATAAATGTCATAGTAATCATGAGTCATAATCACTCATAATCGCACCATCTCGACACCGGTGGATAGGACACATGGTTTTTTGCTTCAGTGGATGCATGTAGCTGCATTCTGCCAGGTGATGTCCGAGGCAGTGTGCAATCAGTCCCTCCAGACTGTGGAGCATCACAGCCAGCTCTTTCGACGGCTGAGACATGTAGGCTTGCTTGGTTTGGGTTTGCAAAACATCGTTCCCGCAGCAGGGCACGCAGCCCCAACTGGCAGGCAAGCAGCTGGACGTCCACTTGGAGTGGGGCTCGGCCACATCAGGCGGTGCATCTGCAACGGCCGACTGCGAGGCGGTCTGGCGGTGTCTTGGAATACAAATCGTTCATCTTTTTCCTGCCGAGGTTATGTGCCTGATTGATCTCTGTATTCGCGACCGACAAGCACCCTTTCTCTCGCATACACACATACCTACACACGTGCACCGAAGTGCATGCATTTGGCAAGCATCGCAAGATTTCGCAAGAAAGCACGCGCACGCGGTCACACAAACAGAGAAACACACTCTCAGTCTCACTCTCAACTCTTTCTCGCGCCCTCACGCTCACCCTCAGCCTCACGCTCACGCTCATGCTCAGCGCTCAAGCTCATGCTCAGCGCTCACACTCGCGCTCACGTTCAGGCTCACGCTCGCTCACTCTCACTCTCACCCGCTCTCACTGTCTATCCCGACTCTATCCCTGTCTCTATCTCTCTCTCTCTCCCCCCTCCCTCTCTCTCTCTCTCTCTCTCTCTCTCTCTCTCTCTCTTTCTCTCTCTTTCTCACTCTATTTTCTCGCGTAAACGAATGACCTGTCTTCATGTCAACGACAGAGGTTCTACGCGATGGAGGTGATGCGAACGATGGTCATCGAAGATGTCGATGTTGATGATGGTAACACGTGGTGATGGTGGTGTCCGTGGTGATCCCAGTGACGGTAGCGACGGTGACAACGATGATGATGATGATGCTGATGATAATGATTATGCAGGCAGGGGTCCGTGGTCTTGGTGAGGCTCGATGCTGCTGCTGCAATCGCTGCCGTTGTTGTTGTGTTGTCGTTGTCATTGTGGCGGTGGTGGTGGTCGTTGCGGTGAGCGACGGCTGCAGCGGCAGTCACACGTTCATTGCTGATTTTGGTGGTGGTGATGATATATAGTGATTCGAAATACCAGCGAGACAAGAACACGCTGTGGGTGCCTGGAGTTCGCTGACAATGCAAGGTATGTCCCAGAGGATGGAAATCACATCGATATCCGATCTGTGCCGTCGGTCTCCGGGAACAGGACCCCAATCGGCGCATCTGCTCGGGCCGCAGAGTCAGCTACAACTGGTTTTTGCATCGCATGCGGTGTAGAAGCATGTCTGCTGTATGGATGTCAACAACAGCTGCCACCCGATCTAGGGGATTTTTATGTATCGCATCTGTCCGACAGACCGGTGCTGCACGCACCGAGAAGTCTGTGCCAGGACGCACGAGCGACTGGTCGCTGGCGAGGTTTTCAGGGTGTCAGAGACATTTGAGGGCTCGGATGGAACCTTGTGCCTTGTCCTGCATGCCATGCAATGTTCTGGATCTATGGCCATGTTTTTCTGCACGAGACCTCAAGCCACGAGAAGCCATGTCGCAAGCATTGTTCTACTCCAGAGATGCAAGACTAGACTCTGACATGCATGTTCTCCACGTAAGTGAAGCTGCACTTTCTGAATATGCCTAAGTCTAAGTTCATCTGAGGTATCTAAAGCTGGCAGATGGTCGTGGCTGGGTGTTTGACAGCAAGGAGCCAGAGGGTGCAGACGGGTGGGTTTCGAAGTCCTGCTAGTCCCTAGTATCCAAGTGTGGGGCGATGTGCTATTCGATTGCGCAGCCTCAAAGCCAGTTGTGAATTCACATGCCGAGTCGAATGCAAGGCGGGCATTGGGACCCTGTGTGTTCGGTGCCAGAGCGACAGTGCGACCCAACTGCATTGGAGTCCGCTTGTCGGCAGCTCAAGCCTTTCCCGGTGGAACTTCATGGCAAGTGGGTGCGGGCACTTATGCCACAACTTAGCTTGTTTTATTTTTTCTGTTTCGGTCCCTGCATAATGCAAAAGACAAAATTTGAGCAATTAAATTATCCAACTACAAACAGGAAGAGGCCTGTCTGGTCATGTGTGAAAGTGCGATTTTTTTGAGGAGTCGCATCCACTCATGTGTTGGGCATTTTGAGGAGGATGCGCTTAGTCTGCTCTGGGCTGTCGTTTGATTATCATTCGTTTCTATCAAGAATCGTTCCTTGTGCTTTGTGTAACCAGGCAGCAACCGACCTCATATTTCTTCGTTTATGATACAGTGTGAGGAAAGCTCATTGCCTCGACTGGACTTCGCTAGAACAACACCCTGAAATTGATTGCAGGCAGCATGTATGCTACAGGCTTGCACACACACATACACACGTGCATACATGCGTACATACGTCTGTACATACATGCATACATAGAGACAGGCAGACAAAGAGAGGCAGACAAAAAGGCAGGCAGGCAGGCACAGGCAGACACACAAACACATACGCGTTTATGTGCGCACGTACATGCACGCCTCTTTTTGCGTGTGCATGTGTACATATATTTTTATGTATATATATATCTGTGTGAGAATTGCCATGTTGTTTTATGTTACGGTATTATATCATCTTTTGTTATACTACATTATATCACATGTTTTGGTATATTTTGTCGCATTATCCCATTTTTAGTATATACAGTATAGACCGTATATGTGAGTAACTACAGTACACACACACACACATATATATATATATATACATACATACATAAATTTAAATATAAATATAAATATAAATATAAATATAAATATAAATATAAATATAAATATAAATAAATAAATAAATAAATATATATATATATATATATATATTACACATGGTTTATATACATATACATATACATATATATATATGTGTGTGTGTTTGCAGCATACATGGTGTATAGTTTTCATGATTAGATGGTATACGTATACACACACACACGCGCACACACACGCACACAGATATATATATATATACACACACATATAGATAGGTCAAATTCGCGCACAAACACACACACACACATACATATGTATATATGTATGCAGCATTTTTTTGCATGTAGTTTTTTGTACATATTGTGTAATCTATGTCTAATATATATACAGATATACATATATATATATAGAGAGTATGTATACAGATGTAGGAGTATTTGCAGTGTATGCTGTATATGTAGCATTTAAATCACACACACCACACACACGTATATATGTACATATGTATATATATATATACACAGCTGTGTATCACATATGATATAGACGACACTGTATGTTCATATTGTATGTATGTATGTATGTATGTATGTATGTATGTATTATGTATGCACGTATGTATGTGTATGTTTGTACGTATATATACATACATACATCCACGCATACATACATACATACATACATACATACATACATACATACATAGAAAAATACATAAGTACATCTCCCTCTCTCTCTCTCTATATATATATACACACATATGTTTGCATATAGACGGGTGTATGT